TAGTTAATTTTAAAAATAAAATAACAAAATTAAAGTAAATACCTTTAAACTCAAATTATGAATCATATTATTAAATTAAATTAAGCTTTTATTTTTAAGATTTTAAATTGTTTATTTGATAAAATCATAAATAATAATGATAATGATTTGATAAGATTTAAAATTTTAAGTGTTTAAATATTAAATGAAATTTGATTTAATGATATTGTTCTTTTTTTTTTTCTTTTTTTTTTATAGAAGGTCAAATACCTTTTTTGGTCCCTTTACTATAGGAAAAAGCCCATTTTTAGTCCCTATACTGAAAAAATCCCCTTTTTGATCCTTACTGTTTGAAATCCGGCTCCTTTTTAGTCTTTCTGTCAGTTAAGTGACAGCATGGTACAATAATCCGTTAAATATCTTCTTTTTTTTTTTAATGGTGACATATGATTACATGTTGCAAAATTGATGAGTTGGCAACCAAATTTATTTTCCATGTAATCAATAGGTCCTAAAATAATTAAAAGAAAAAAATCATTGCTTCCCTTTATCTTTTCATTTCCTATTTCTATCCTCATCTTCTTCGCGAACCCAGGATGAACCCAGCTCGCGAGATTGGGTTGGCAACTAACCCAACTTGTGCCTGGGTTCGTCACAAACCCAAGCGCGAGCTGGGTTCTCAATCTCTGCCAAAAAAAAAAAAAACATGTTCTTTTCAAACAAACAACTCCAGAAACAAAAGCTTGGCTTCAAGGTCAATATAAAATCCTCCAAAGGACACAACAGGGCGTTGAGATTCCAGAACGGCGGAAAGGAAGGAGATGAGGCCAGAGTGGCCAAAAAACTTGGTGACGAAAACGGTGGCGTGGCCTTGGGCCTCAGCACTGTTGATCCACTGAAGACAGGGACGCAGAATACAAGACTCACTGCATCCCTTTCGCAAAACGCTGCACCCATTGCAACTCATTGAATTGGATCTTGAGTTGTTTGTTTGAGAAGAACATGCTTTTTTTTTTTTTTTTGGCAGAGATTGAGAACCCAGCTCGCGCCTGGGTTTGTGATGAACCCAGGCACAAGCTGGGTTCGTTGCCAACCTAGTCTCGCGAGCTGGGTTCACCCTTGGTTCGCGAAGAAGATGAGGATAGAAATGAGAAATGAAAAGATAAAGGGAAACAATGATTTTTTTTCTTTTAATTATTTTAGGACCTATTGATTACATGGAAAATAAATTTGGTTGCCAACTCATCAATTTTGCAATGTGTAATCATATGTCACCATTAAAAGGAAAAAAAAAGGCATTTAATGGATTATTGTGCCATGCTGTCACTTAACTGATAGAAGGACTAAAAAAGGGTCGGATTTTAAACAGTAAAGATCAAAAAGGGGATTTTTTCAGTATAGGGAATAAAAAGAGGCTTTTTCCTATAGTAGAAGGACCAAAAAGGGTATTTAACCTTTATAGAAATTGTTTGATGTTAAAATATTTAAATTAAAATTTTTATTTAATTTTTATAAAATTACCAATTATTACATTCAATTTTTAAGAATGGATAAATTAAAAAAATTGAAATATTAGCAATAAAGATTATAAAGTTTAATGATTTAACAATTGGTGATGGATTTGAGATAGTGATAGTGAGCATGATTTTCAGGAACTACATGCTTATTTTAATGAAGATGCTCCTTATTTAGGCCAAAATAAATGAATTAGTAATGATATTTCATCTATTTGACATTTGTCTCTATTGTGGATTTGGTTTGTGATTTTTTTTTATATTCAAAATTTATTTTGTAGTGAATTTGTGGATTTGGTTTGAGACTTTATTTTATATTTAAAACTTATTTTGTAGTGAATTTAGTTTAAGATTGAGTTTTTTCTTATTATCATACTTGATGAACTTATCTTATATTATGTATTTTAATATTTGTTAGTTTTTATCTTAAAAATTATATGTGTTTAATTAAATTTATTATTTTAAATGATATAAATGATTATTTTCACGTTGATTTTATGATGATTATTTTTTAAGAATAAAATAAAAGTAATATAGAATAGTAAAATTTAATAAATATGTAAAAAAAATTATTTTTTAAGTTGATCGGTTGGACCAATTGGGTGAATAGACTCAATTGGACCGATGACCAAACCGAATCAACTGTTGGGCCAGGCACAAAAACACTGATTTTGACCATGCAAAGAAGCGAGTTTATCATTTTCGAAGGTCATGACGAACCTAATGGAAAGTCAAAAGGCAAGTCTAGTTAAAACAGAAAATTGAAGGAGGTTAATTGGTGATGTTGATAATAAAGAAAATTGCAAGTCTCTCCCATTTTAAGAAGAAGCAGGATATTAGTCCTTTTTCAATCCAAAATGTTTGGTTGAGTGTTCATTTTTATATTGCTAATGAGATGTTGGCATATTAAGATGTAAGCAAGTGGTAGCGTACCATCACGCCTTACCTAGTTATTTAACATTTGGAGCAGCTATTGCTTACTCTTATTTATAGCATATAAGATTCATTGTCTTGTTATCTCATTTTTCTGGATTTGAGAAAAAGAAGATTTGTGGACGGCTGGATGAATACTTGAATGATTAAATCGCTTCCAATTCTCTCGACAGAGTAGCTCCAGCCACCCTACCCACCCTCCTATTCTCAGGTTGCAGACTTGCAGTCATGATTTTTGCAGCCAGCATCGATATTATTAAAAGCTTGATTCATCTTATTATTCTTAAACTTACAGTTCCACCTTCTCTTCATCCCAAATAAATTCTTGAATGAAAAACCCTAGTTTGGCTGGTTACCTGGTCAAGATGTTTGTGGCTTTTGTAGTCCAGAAGAAAAATCAGCATGGTAACTCACCCACACAGAAACATAGTTTGGTGGAGTTTTTAACGAGATAACTTCAATACAATTTATCAAGAAAAACCAAAATGAGTACAGTTTATTATTACAACTTAACGATATAACTTCAATACATAAAGCTCCTTCAGTTTTTTGTTTTTCAAGCCAAACCTATTGGCAATACCTATCCGAAACTACAACAAACACAGTGGAATTCTACAGTATGTTATTATTATTCTTTGAAAATAAGCAATTGTACAGTTATTGATCCAAATCCAATGGTTCTATACTAAGAACTTCTATGTTACTATCGTAAGAATCATTACAACTTACACCCAGGTGCTCTGATGCCAAGTTGACTTTTATTTTAATTATAAACTTCATGTATTAAGTTTTTATTTGTTCAATTTGAAATTAAAAGTAAAATTTATTTTTAAATTTAAAATCTTATATTTTTTAATAAAATTATAATTATTAACTAATAATTATTTTTTATTGAGTTTGTCTATCTTGTGCTCTTATGGCACAAAATAAAATTTTTTTCTTTAAAAGATGTGACATTTTAAATTAAAAAATTAAAATTTGATTTTAATTTCAAAATAAACTAATAAAAAATTAATATGTGACATTTGCATAATTAAAAGTAGAAGTTAACTTTATTATTTTTAAGATAAAAATACTATAATAATTATACAATTATTATTTTTTATCTTATATCCTAAAAATATAAGACAGATAAATCCCTTTTTATTATGTCAGCGGCCCAGAATAAACAAATCAATTAACAAATGTTACAAACTTAACAAATCATCTTTGAAGTTTGAAGTGGTTTTCTTCTAATATAATTATTTAGCGACAAGAAAGGGATGTTTGAGATGCTTAAGTGAAGGGCAAAAACTTACTTTTAGCTCATCACTTGATCAAGTTTAAAGATTTTAGCTCCTCACTTTATATTATTACACTTTTAACCCTTCACCTTACTATATTTATAAGTATTAACCCCTCAATTATTAAAATCAAAGAAAATACCCCTCACTTTATACTAATTGTTAACTTTGTTAACTGAAAGTATATTTTTGTCAATTAACAGTCAACTAATACTCAGTTAACAAAATTAACAAAATATCATAAAGTTATTTCTATTAATTCTGTTAACTGAAAGAAGAGTTTTATAAGCTAACAATCAACTAACAATCAGTTAATAGAGTTACTAGTAAGCAAATAAAACAAACAAAAAAATATAAAGGAAGGGTAATTTTCTTCAATTTTAATAGGTGAGGAGCTAAAAGTATCATAATATAAGGTGAGAAACTAAAACCTAAAAATTTAATAAGATAAAAAGTTAAAAATATCATAATAAAAAATAAAAAGCTAAAATCTTTAAACTTAATAAAGTGATGAGGAGCTAAATGTACGCTTTTGGCCAAGTGAAGTGCTTGGCAGGTGGGGTGGGAAAAGGTGGCTGTTGGGCGTTTCAACAGTACTTAATTAATACTACTACTACATTTTCCTGAAAGTTGAAAACGTATTTTATCATTACAAACTAAAAGGGTGTTTGTTTCGGATGTTGTCACAAGTCCTCATGAAAAGTAGCCCTAAGAGGCACCAAGTAAAAACTGTTACCATATTTATTTTCAAAAATTTAGGTATAAGGTTATTTAATTTGTATCAGCCTTAAGCTGATTGCTGTTTGATATTTGGACTATGTTGGCTTCAACCTGCTCTCTAGTACATTGATTAATTATGTATTTTAATAAAAGTTGGCTTTGTGGGTTATCATCTAGTATTTAATATTCTTTTTTGTGTCATAGTAACATTAAGGTGCAAAACAACATGTAAAAGGCATGATATAATTAAATTATAGAAGAAAAGATAACTATTTCATTCTTTTTTTCCTTTTTCTTTTTCTTTTTCTTTTTTTTTTAACATAAGCAATTTATTACAACCAAAGGTTCTAAGTGAAGAGGAAACTGGGGAAAGGGTTGGTGGGGCTTGAACTAAAAGGGAGGGCGAAATGGGGGGAGAATACAATCCACCCAATAAATTCTACATGAGGCTAGTGGTTGTTCCACTGTACTTGTAGTATGTATGGTAGAAGTTAGTCACTGGAGAAAATATATATGTCAAAGGCACACCAAGTACCATTGATTAAAGTAACTGTTAAATTCAAAGTACCATTAATTAGAGTAACTATAAAATAAGGGCCTACCATATTATGGCCAAGAAATTTGGTTGGTAGGGATTTTTTTTTTTTTTTCGAAAGGTGGTTTTAAGAGTTTTCTTACTAAAAAAAATGGGGGAAATTTAGGGCTCTAGTATACCTATAACTTATATCCATGAAATTTTCAACTTGGTTTGACAGTGCTTCTTACACAACTTTAATCACGAAGCATATTATATAAAAATGTAATTTTTTATTCTTAATTAATTATTTATATATTTTTAACAATTTTAATTAATATTTTATATATTTATTAGATAAATTTTTTAAAAAAAATAAAAAACAGCACAACACTCCCCTGCTAAGTCATAGATTCCTCATTTCCTTTGCTTATTTTGGGCTTGCCCCAATTTAGCAGGCCTTAACAGCCCAAAACTCGAGGCCCAGGTGATCCATTACCCAATAACAAATTCCACCCCATCTACCAGTTCAATCAATGCCACCTTCATTTGACATTTTGTTCAGAAAATTTTGGTGCATCTTCCCAGTTAGATAGAACCCACCAATGTCATCTATGTAAATTTAAACAATACACAAAACCCTGATGCATTCATGGCTGCTAAGAAGTTTGTCTTTTTGTAGAAAATCATTACCCAGTAGAAACTAGTGTGCTTCAGTTGCAGAGGAAGGAGGAAGAAGGGAATATAGATTTTTTTTTTTTTTGAGAAAGAATACTAAGCTTCCATAAAGGGAGAAAGGTACATGTGTATAGACACATATTAGAGAGAAAAGGAAGTAGCTTGGTGAAGAATGGAGAATAGTGGGAGTAGCAGCCAAGGCAGCATGGTGGTGGGCAATCAGAGGAAGGCATTTGAAGGAATCAGAATAGGGAATCCCTTCACTTTCAAAGTGGGTCAAGTATTTACTGGCTTTGGGGTTGGCTGTGGTGTTGGTATTGGCGTTGGTCGTCCTATAAATCTAGGTATTGCTTTTTATTGCCTTTTCTCTTCCTATAGATAAAACGTTCAGTTGGTGACATTCAAAAATGTGAATGTGATCCTATCCCTTGTAACTTGTAATGACTCTCACTTCAAGTTTTGGTTTGGATAATATTTTGCATATCTGATCTTGCAGTAAGCTTAGTTTAGTTTAGAACTGTGTTATTATCCATTCATTGATTGATTCATTCAATAACAGTGGTGAAATCTTAATTGAGAATGTGGTTGAGCCATAATAATGCTTTGTGCCAGGTGCATTACCGATGCTGGGTCAGGTCATGAGTGCAACAAGAGGTGCCACTGATGCATTTTCTGGTGTCAGTGGACATGTAAATGATGCTGTAAGTATTATGGCTTTTCTTGCATGGTTTTCCATATTGCTTTGCATTTTTCTTGTTTTAATATATAGTTTAAAAAGAATGTTCCCCTCTTATTTTTCATGTTAACAGTTGAGGAAGGTGGGGGCAAAGAACATTGAGGCAGGCATTGGATGTGGAGTTGGTTTTGGCCATGGTTTTGGAATCGGTATGTCAGGTGTTATATTTTCTTTGGAAGAAATACGAGTTAGATATATTCATTAAAGTTAGAGGGATGGATATGGTGGTTTTTAAATAAAAGTGAAATCTGACAAAATTATCTGTAATTTAGATTTGTGGCTATGTTGAGGCAGCTGATTCTTGATCTATGATGAACTTGTAAAAGATGCATTCAACTTAATTACCTTCTTAATTCATTTTATGCCTTTTTAACATAGCTTTTAGCTTTTACTAAGTTGGTGCTGGTCCACAAAAATCTCATGGTAAGATCCTCTATACAATACAATATCTGGGAACATTTTTGCTGCCATACATTGTTTCCTTTTTACTTTATCCAGTATTCCAGTGTTATGCCCACCTCATTTTTCTTTTAAAACTTCTAGTGTCTGCATAAAAGAGTTATCTCGTTGCACAAGCAACCTTAGTATCTAAACTGACAGTGGCACCTACATCATACATTATCATCAATTCATTGATCAGGGATCTCATTTTTTTAATGCCCTAGTAATCCTATGAATCAGTGGCATTTTTTTTTTTTTTATTGCTAAAGTTGTTTTTATTACAGGACTTGCTATCAAACCTGGGGTGTTGCATCAAATTCAGTCTTGTGTTATGGCAAGTATTATTTTCTCTTGTCATGTGTATCTTCTCTGTTGTGGTTTGTTTTACTTATGTATAATCTGTTAATTTAAATTTTCTAGCAAGCTGTGACAAACTTGACAATGAAGTTTGGATTGGCTCCCAATTTATCCACCACTCAAGGTGCCATTCCATTATCTTTGCAAAGTGGCTTGTCCACAATAAACGAGCCCTCTGTCCTGAGTCCACTGGGAAGAGTTCTGCAGATGGCACCAAACGTATCCAATCACCCATTTCAAGGGCTATCTGAATCCGAGCAGGGAGATACGGTGACAGGTTCCAGTTGTCAAAAATTTGCTTCTATCTCCCCAGTCGAGACATCTTTTGGACAAACAGAAAACATTACCAGCAGTTTTTTGCACGATGCAGTTTTGAAGGAAGACAATACCAGAGTAAATGAACTTGTACGTGTTGATGCTTGCTTCTCATGCTTTTGAAGTCCCAATTTTAATTTATTACTTTTGAACATTCTCCTATTTAATAATAAGTCTTTGGGTTTTGTATTTCTGTAGGCCAGTCGATTGCGGTCTGAAAACAACATGCTTCAAATGGTAAGGCCCCACACCTATTGTTATTTATCAAATGATGTGAAGTGATTTTGTTCAGTAATGTTAGTTGTAAGGTGATTACTTAAAATCTCCCTAAATATTGTTCAAAGGCAGTGTCTATAAGATGTAAAGTTTCTAAATGTTGGAATTTCACCATAGGATTCATCTAGTTCAGGGCCAGTTATGCGTTTGAAGTACAATTTAAAAGGCTTTGGTCTAACACAGTATTTTTTGGTAAAATGTAAATTTTATTACCAAAACTTCTACTATATACAAAGCAGCACTTTATAATACAGGCTGGTACCAATATTCATATACAAAGAATGAATCAGCCATACAAAAATGGAATATCAGTCTCTACACAAAACTTTTAATCCCCATTTTGAGGCAATACTGCTAGGCATAGGGGAGGATTTTGCTTTGGCAAAACCAAGTACCTTGTCATGGACATCTATTTGTCAAACATGGTATTTGCAGCTTATATTTAGTTTGTAAGGGTTATCTTGTCCATAAAAACATAGTCATTCTTACATCATCCATTTTTTTCAAGGGTTGTATGATAACATTTGCAATGAATTGGAACTTGTTTTTGATTCAGGTTTTGAAACACCAGCAAATAATTGAGGAGCTTATGAAGGAGAATGAGAAACTTAGTCAAATACTTGTGGATGACCTGAAAGTACCACCAAGCAAGCTCCCTTCCAGTTACTCGAGCTCAAGTAAAAGTAAATCCCCATGTTCAGAATGCTTTGAGTGCCGAAGGAAACAAAGAAAGAGATGGTCATAAGTATACTTTAGTTTCTTTTCTTTTTTTTGATCTTTTTCCTTTTTCTCTTCTTCTTCTTCTCTCTTTCTTTCTTTCATTTTTCCTTCTTTTTTTTTTTTATTATTATTTTTTTCAATTCTTGCCATCTCCTTTTACCTCATTGGGCCATAAATCCTGAGTCCATCCTCCTCAGTGGTGCGCCTAATGATCTGACCAATCTTTTTAAGTCTTTTTCCTGAGGGGTAAACCACCAAATTTAAGAGCAGGGGAAGAATGAGGGTAAAAACATAGAATTACATGATAAACGATTTCCAGTTCCCTTTTTTCACTTCCTTTATACTTTCCAGCCAGTAAAATCCTCAAACAGCAAAGCCTTCAATGGTATAACTTGTATTAGAATTTACCCAATAACCTGTATTCTCCATTGCTGGTCTCTATTGTTCACATGAACCATGACTGGTTTATGGCTTGGCTTAGTAAAGTTATTGATGTATCATTCTGTGGTGTTTATCTTTCAGCATTTTCTGTTAATGATCTATTCCCAACTTTCTCATTAAAAGGTATCCGACCATGTTTTCTTGCTTCTTTTTCCATTTTATTTATTATAGGATGCAGATTAGTGAAACTACTTGAACTAGAGTGATTTGCAGTTATTTGTGTTGTACTTGCATATCCATGATTGGTTGGGGGATATCTGTACAACTTAAATCATATATAATTATGATGTTGTAATGTTACTTTTATCGTTAAGTATGAATTGTGTAAGCTGATTACAGGAGTTTTGGAAAAGGGTTAAGATTTGTAAGAATGTCCTGAATTCTCTCTATGTTGTACATGAGTTTGGTTGTGGGGCAATGAATTAGGATGCCATGTGCGCTTCACTTTCATTTTCCATGTTAAATTGTACTAGTGTTCGGCCCCATCACCACACAAACAGCCAGCACCTCTCTTTTTCCACTTGCAAAAAAATGCTCATTTCTCCTTTACTACCCTTTTGAGTATTCTCTCTTTTCTCCCATGAAGTCCAAAGATGACACCTTCCCCTTTCCAAAAGCCATTCACGTCTTTCCCCTCAACCTTTCTTCCACATATTTCCACCCTAACAGCTAGCATCTATCTTTTTCGACTCTCATTACCTCCTTCACCACCACTACCAATTGCCCTATTCATCGCTTCCATCTCACCCACCTAACTTTTACTTCACAAAATATCGTTAATGTTTCACATGCTTTCATGTGTACGATTATTCTCTTAGAACCTACCATGACTTGGATTCAAAATCTTTGTCTAAGCTCACCAAATCATGGTTTATTGAAGTAGGAAACTTTGTGTACATCGCAAAATTCAGAAACTGAGTAATTTGGGATTGAGTTAGCATGTATTAGTACGAAAGAAGGAAATTAAACACAAACAAGAATAACAAGTCTCTCGTGTTCATCCAAGTAAAATGCTACACATAACCTGTAATATCGATTTAAATGTCTAAAACCCGTTAGAAATTACAAATGCAGCTACACAGAATCACCAGAAAATGGAATGACAGATCCCAAACATAAACAAGGAACAGAAAAGGAATACACAAATGAACAGTAAAAACTCATGATGTCTTGTCAATTAAAATGTCAAGAATAATAATAAAAATATTAAATACCTTAATTAATCAACATATAATAAAGATTTATTAAAGATATTTAAATAATTTCACATAAAATTCTAATATTTTAAAGTACCAAGATGTCACTTTTTTTTCTTTTTTTTTTAAAGTAACTGAATCTACATACACTAAAATGTTTGAAAAGCAAAACCGTGTCCTAAGCAAAGAGGACAGCAACTCCTCCAAGCAATGTTACCAATGTCATGCTGCTTTCGTGAACAAAAGCACCAGAACCAGGTGAGACGGTGACGGGAGAAGGAATGGCTGGGGCTGGTGGGCTCATGGAAGCAGGTACCATTGGTGCGTCTGTGGAAGGACTTGGACTAAAGGGGCTTGTTGATGGGGTTGGAGCCATTGGGCTTGTAGGGGCCATGGAAGGAGTGGAGATTATTGGTGGGGGTGAGGAAACTGGGGTGACAGCAGGGGGAGGTGGCATCATGGTGGATGGCGGAAGGGAGGATACCGTGGGAGGAAGAGAGGCAGGAGTCGTCGGAGGAATTGACATTGGTGGGGAAGCTGATGGACCTTGAGCTATGGAACATGGTATCAGAGCCAGACATACAGTTAACTCAAAAACAAGCCATGAAACAGCCATGATGTCTCTAAACTGTATCAAGCGTTGTGAGAAAGGAGAGTAACATTGAGGTCGATATATAGAGGGTTAGGAGGAGAGGAAAGTTGGACAATCAATTTTCAGCATATGGTTAGAAATGAATGCAAAAATATTTTGATGCTATTGGGCATAGTGATAGCCATGTGTCATGAAGGAATGTGAATTTTTGTGGTAGGGCACTTTGTTTATTGAGAAAATGCAAGTCAAGTTGAGGATTTTTGTGAGTAAAATGTGGAATTAAGTTCAGTGGAAAGGGAGAAATGGGTTAATGGGGCATGCCATTGATGCTCTGCGCGTATGCACCATTTTGGGTTTGGGCCAATCCTCCAAGTTTCCACCTTGACATTATTGTTTTTTTATTTTTATTTTTGAACATATTTTGTAAGGGGCGGGTTTCGAACCCTATCGGAAAAGAATGCACCGGTGACTAAATTCATTAAACCTTAAGGGCCAGATGCCTGACATTATTGTTTTTTGTGATTAATATTTTTGAAAATTTTATTTTTAATCAATATTTTTAAAATTTCAAACTCATACAAGATTTAGTTAATGATCAAATTTTTTATTTTTACATTAATTTATGGTGATTTGGTGGTTAATTGTAAATTTTTTATGAATTTTAAATTATAAAATATGTTGATTTAAAATTTAAAAGTGAAAATTTTAAAAAATATTAATTAAAAACAATAATAATGTCCCAACTCCCAAGTGCAAATATAAAATTTGTCTTTGGGTTTGTCCCACTCCCACCAAACCTAAAATTTGTGAATGCTAGCTAATTCACAGTGACAGAAGCACCCATCAACATCAAACGAATAATATCTAAGATGGCAGCAAATTTTCTTTTACAAACTAACCGACTCCTCAACAAATAATTTCTAATTTGAGTTTGTTTAAGCTTGCTTAAACCAAGCTCGAATCATCCTCAAAACTTAGAAATGCTTGGATTAAAAGCTCATGACCCCTCAGAACTTAATAAGAATATCTGGTTCACTCTTATTAAATAAGAAAATTTAACATCAAGTATACAACAAAAAAAAAATATTCTATCTGTTATTAATTTAAAAAATTTTAAAGTAAATATAAACCTTTTCATTAAAATCTATATGCACAATTTTTACAATTTGAATCTCATGTTCCTGAGGCATTATGTGCCATGGGCATTGGTGGTCCTATGTCTCGCCAGCTTGCCAGTGTAAATTAATGCAGACATGACAGCTAACCAAACATGAGATTCTTCAGCATTCAGCAACAACTGTCGGTACCACCCATTAACTCATTAGAACTGCTCTTATAATGACTTCTATTCAACCAAGAAAAGGAGACAAAATGTTATTCCCCAGAGTAATCTGTCACAAACTCTATAGATTGCTCACACATACAAACATCTGAAGAAACTATTTCACATACTAAAACACATCATTCCTTGGAGAAGCAACTCACAAGAAAGAGCACGGTACCTAACTACAGTAAATTTACAATCTGGTATATGTTTGTTAGAGAAGATGGACTGGAGGATTATATAAGGCTACAATCAGTGCCATCAATACCTAAAATACATGGGCAGACAAAGCTTTCTGTCTCTACTTCTATCTTTAGCATTTTCCTTCAGCCTTTCATTTTTCTACAGCTCCGTGATGCTTACCTGATTATCTTCTTTAATTCCTTAAAAGTGGCACAGATGCTGCAAGAAAAGAGTAGAGATCAGTTGAATAGCTATTTGGGTTTTTCTTGTGCCAGCACAGGTTAAAGGCTCTTTTTGTTATAAATACATATAAAAAACTTGACATTGATTTTAGTGTTGATGCATGTGGATAAATTTAATTTAATAGTTAATAAATTAAAGGTCAATTTTTATTTTTCTAATACAAATTTATGAAGAAAATGTGTATTTATTATACCCTTATCTTATACATTGAGGCATATGATAGAAAAAACCTAACTATTTAATCTAATCAACACCATATTACTCATGATTATGGCTTGACTCATCCAGATTCTCCTATTTAAAGGATGACTTTTATCTCTAATCTTGTAATGAGAGAATACCTGGATTTTATATGGTATCCAAACAGTGAGTATCATGCATGGATGCTTATGTGCAATAAAGATTATCACATTACCTTCATGACTTTGATTCCCACTTGGGGAATGGATTTGTCTGTATGATTTTTCAGTAATTTCAGCTACTACAACCAGACGGAATAAAAGGAGTCCAGCAATAAGAGCACAAACAGTTAGCATACAAAAAACTGCATCCCATCCCTTTGTTGAAAGAAACCCAGTAAGAAGAGGACCAAGAGCTGCACCAACTGATCCAGTCCCATCTATTATGGCAGTCACTGTTGCTAGTGCCCGAGAAGTCCCTTTTAGAGAACTATGTGTTCCAAGGTCTGCAGAAACTGCAGTTGTGATAAGTGCATATGGCCCATTTACTAATAAACCAGCAACCATCATTAGTAAAATGTTGACATTTTGAGAAACATTCCCATATGAGCGGTACAGGAGCATGGCAGGAATTGCAGAATACAAGAAAGTGGTAGCTATAGTTGCCCGAGCATTGAATTTATCAGATATATAACCATCAAGGACCCCATCAACAATGCCCCCCACATCAAACAGAGTTGAAAGATTTCCAGCAGACTTCACAGACATATACTGGCTACCAATTTCTGAAAAACAATGCAATTGAAAAGTTAGAAACCTTTTGCTGATTGTAAGTTTGCAACAACAAGAACATAACAGTTAACAAATCAATATGATTTGACAGCCATGCGTGCTAGCAAAGACAATAATAAAAACAACAGAAAGTGCCCAATTTCCAATAGCAAGATCTATAAACAAACAGATTATAGAATTTGCATATCATAGCTTTCTTAATATGTAATATCAGAAAAGTATAAAAATATGTAAAACAAAAAAAAAAAAAAAAAATGGTACCGGTCTGACTCAGATAAAATGGTAACCAGTATAGAAATGTGTATGCCACAAGTTTTGAGAAGAAGAGGGACAACGCAGATGGTATTACTCCTGGTATTAAGAATGCGTCAAAAAGTGCAACACTTTTTCTGCTCACTGACCCTTGTCTGGAATCATACTTCTCTATCGCAACCAAATTTCCTTCTTCCCGAACTTCCTCATCGTTAAGCATTTCATCCATATCGACGGCCGAACCATGTTTGCAAAGAAACCCAACGTCCTCAGGATAAGCGGCAAGGAATAAGTAGACCAGTATCCCTCCCAAAACAATTAAGCCCCCTGGGACTATAAAAGACCATCCCCAACCATAGTCCAAAACACAAGCAGCAAGCAAAGACCCACTAATACTCCCAACTGATGTATGTGCATTCCAAACACCCATTATCAAACCCCTCTTCCTTTTCCCAAACCAATTCCCCATCACAGCCACAACAGAAGGCCATCCAGTTGCTTGAAACAACCCAGCAAGCATTTGCATCCAAAGATAATACCAGAACACATGAATATTCCAAAAAAAACCCATGCCAAAAAGTCCCACAAAAATGCCACTGAAAATCATCCCAGATGTCAGAAACAACCTAAGATCCAAACTATCACCCAAATGGCCAGCAACATACATCCCCAAAGAATAACAGGAAAGGAATCCAACATCAATCTCACCCAATTTTGATGTCCCGTCAGGTCCATTAAAAGGATACCAACCCCTTTTGTTCATTCCATTAGTATCAAAGCTCCCAACTTGCTCCTTGATGAAAACATTGCCAAGGGTACCAACCACCAGAGCCCTTCTTGCGCTCAGGGTGCAGAACACTCTTAACTATGCTACATGGTTTCCTAGATGCATGATAACAAGCATATGCCATGAAGGTAACAAACAAAACCATGTACATATATGATTTTAGGTTCAGATCTTTGCCTCTAATACTTCTTATGAGCAAAATCCCAGATGGGGTTTTCCTCATTGTCTCGTTACTGCTAGACATCCCAAAAATCAGATAAAGTTACCCACCAAAACATATAAAAAAGAGGGCTTTCCTCACCAATCTTACAAATTCATCATCATCTTTCCCAATATATCAAAAACCATCAGAAGAAACACAAAGTAACCATCAGAAGAAAAGGGGAACTGACCTTAGGAAACAAAATGGCAGTAGAACCTAATAGCCATTTCGTTGTTTCATGGACGAGGGAAACAATTTCAACCGCATTTTTCAGAGTGAGTTTTAGCGTTGGGAGAGCGAGGTTGGCGGGGGGGGGGAGCCATCAACGAAGAAGGGACAATGCCTGCATGAAATCAGGGGAACACGCGGCCGTCTGGGGATGCCTGAACTAGAAGCAAAATGCTGATTAAGCGCCACGTAGGCATGTAATACCCACGTGTCAATCAATGAAAAATAAAAAATAATTTTAAGATAATTTTTTTTATACAATTAACGTGCTATTTAAACACATTTACTCATTCTATTTAAACACATTTACTCATTCAATTACATGTATAAATTGTATAAAAAAATAATATAAAAAAATTATTTTTATAATCCTACTTAAAAAAAATAATGATATTGTAATTACAATAACACTGTAACATTGTGCAATTTATAATACAGTGGTGATGTCTGTTTTTACATTATATTTAAATTAAAATTTTAAATTAATAAATACTAATTTTGTCAAGTTTTTATTATATATTATGTTTGTTTTAAAATAATAATTATTTTTAAATTTAAATTTATTTGAAATTAATTATTATTATTATTTTAAAAATAA